TGGGGAGAAATACAAATTCCCAAATTAGTAACCACCAGAGTTCTTATAAAAGTGCAGAGGCCCTGGAGACATACTTATTAATCTTGTTTCCATATCACTCATAACCCCAAGACAGTCCAACTTCACCACCTATTCCAGTGGGGCCCCACCAACATGTAAGGGTAACTGCTTTGAAGTATGAGAAACTATGACCATTAAATATTCAGAAGTAAAATTTATATTCTGTAAACGTGTCTCACCGGCTTGATGTTAGACTAAGGCCTTTGCATATCCAAAAGACGTGTGATGTAGGCCTACATCACTTGTCGGTCAATAGGACAAGCCATTTTTACTTCGCTCATATGTTCTTGTTAAAAAGCGACGCTGTGCAGATCTCTTTCATACCTCTGCAGAGAGTCCTTGTGTAAGGCCTCATCAAAGAACTTATATTGAACATTCTCAACTCCCGCGGATTTCCGACTGGTCCGGAGGGGGGCAGGGGGATTAATTTCAGCGTGGACTGTCTTCACATGTCTCCTAAGAATCTGGTTTGCTGTGAACTTCTTAAATAACTGACGCTCCACGAAGAGGATCAGAATAGGCTTGGACCAGTATGGGAACTGAACTCTGCAGTAAAGGGAATGGCAGACGCCATGATGGTAGAGTGACGTAGCCTTGAGTCGATTGTGATTGGTCGGTTGTAAAAGCCGGCCTGTGGTCGCGATACGCTTGTCCTATGGGTCGTCCTTACTTGAGAGCAAGAGCGTCATAGACTTACCTTGGAATCATCGATATTCCGTGAAAGTTGTCTCCCCTCCCTTGTGGCCGATTTGCAAATTTCATCTCGAAAAAGCACATTCTGGGATGATAAAGAAAAGTTCTGTTGATACCTGAAGTTCATTTCTCGAAGCGTCTGGCCAATAGAACTGTCATTAGCATACAAACACGCAAAATAATTTTTTCGCTCGGCCTAGCTAGCGGTCAGGATCGCGCACGCTATATATTGAAGCTTTGGTTAAACTCCTTGAAACGGTTCCCCGGTATGAATAACTTAATATTAATAAATATGTTTAAATAATAGGATCCAATAAAATTGCTTCCATTCTTTGCCAAACTCGGCGCAGAGATTGACTGTCGTGATCGGTCTAATATTGCAATGTCTAATATTAATATTGCGCCGAGATATAAAAAAAGAACTTCCCAACAAGTTGATTACAACCGGTTCAGTGAAAGGTATGACGGGAAGTGTAAGACCATCAGCACCTTGAACTCATGAAAATGGCGAGGACCAACTGCGTGGCCTGCCAGAAGCCCAAATCTAACCCATATTGACTTTTTTTATGGGGATGAGCAAGTGAAGAGGAAAGTGCATTCACCAAAAACACGTGATTTTGAATAACGGGGAGAAAAGGTTTGTGAAGTGTTCAATAACGTCCCAATAGAGTTTCTTTCCAGCTTCGATGAGTATATGACATTGCGTTTGAGAAAACGTGAGGAAAATGCAGGACGTGACAAGGAAATTTAAATCCATACAATAAACGTTTTAAATGTCAAAAAGAACGAAATTCATCAATAGACATAGGGGCTTACTTTTCATTCGCGCTGTAGATGTAAATTCATTCTGTACTGAAGACCCCAGGAATGCCAGGAATCACAAGCATGACCCTTCCTCACAACGTCGATACTGTGATGTGTCCGAAATTCGCCTTCCAATAGAGACGACTTGTCCTCGTTGACTAAACAGGATTACTCATTCTTGGGACAGAGAATGAACGGGTTTGCTTGCTCACTTTGGCATCGCAGACCTTTCGTCGTTGCCCAAACAACTAGTATATTATCGGAGATACAATCGCCTGGTGAACGCACGAAGAGCTCAGATGGATCGCCCTGTACTCGTGGAAATGTTTCACTGTACACATCGAGCAAACATGGAATAAATAGAATTTCGTTTGCAGCAGCGCGCATGTTTTCTCTTAAGCAATTCGTTTGGGTCTATGGCCACAACGAGCTTATTTCGACGCAAGTTTCAAAGTTTTAACTGCGAGATGCTTTACGGACGCCTGATAACACTTGGCGAATGTCGCCACCTAGCACAACTACTTTCCCACCGCATCGGTCATCGTCCATCGAGTCTCGCATTGCGTTGCCAGTCCTTCAGCGAGCGCCATCGGCGCTTCTTTCCAAATGGGGACGTCGGTAGCTCGAATCATCGCCTGTTTTTTGCGCGATGGTGGACATGTTTCATGCGTGAGCAGATCCAATGAAAAGTCGAAGGCTGTGCGACGCATCATCTCACTAGGCAGCAAAATTGCAGAAGTACCAATCGGCACGCAACGTTCAAAACATTGTCCACTTCACAGCAGTACAGTGGTACCTCGCATAACGAACGCAATTCGTTCCAGCGGTGCGTTCGTTATGCGAGGTGTTCGTTATGCGAAACACGATTTCCCATAGACGTCTATGGGAAATCATGTAATCCGTTCCACGTACCCATAGACGTCTATGGGAAATCATGTAATCCGTTCCAAGTCGCCGCGAAAAATCAAGGAAATTAGGAAAAAATGTTTCACTTTCACTCGCGAACACCTCGCATAACGAACGCACAGCTGGAACGAATTGCGTTCGTTATGCGAGGTACCACTGTATGTGAATTCGTGACAGGCAAACCTACGGTGACGTCAGTAGCGTCAGGGGTCATCCCTCGAAACAGGGAAAAGGAGGTGGAGCCTGCCACCGGCCCTGCTTCACGAAGCAACGCACAAAGAAGACTCACCTGTCAGCCCCAGTCAGTTTCCCTCCATCTAGTGCGGATGTGATTAGGTCTTATCCTACAATGGAGAAGAGGGAACCATTTCTGCCCGGTTCCATTGAGTGTTACACTCTTCTCCTTCGTCGCCACACCTTGCTCTATTAATTGTCTCATGTGAGATGATTCAATATCTCCCTGCCCTTTTCTCCATCAATGTGATCGGGCGAGCTTATGTTCTGATATCGCCTTTGACAACAGCCTCTGGAGAGCCAAGATAATTCCGCAAAAATGCATTTAATTTCTTGAAACTTCACTGAATTCACTGGGGGCCGGGGGGGGGGGGGGGGGGGGGGGGGGAGAACGTGAAGAAAATTTNGGGGGGGGGGGGGGTGGGGGGGGGAGAAATCGTGAATACGGAATCTGTTTTTTTTTTCCCCTGAAACACCTGTTATATCTTCTTTACTAGGTTTGACGTATTTCCCCCCATCATTCTTGAACGCAGGAACGGAGGAAGTGACACATGCATGCCACGCGAGCTTGGGAGAAAAATAGAAGGCTGATTGAAGGACGAGCAGAACGGAGGAACAACCGATATAACTTCGTTGCGAAGTCATTAAACCTGGCGGACACATTCCCGACTTCTCCACAGGCACGAATAGGTAAGCCTGAGCTGTTTTATGTAATTATTCCTCTTTTAAGAGTGAATAATGAAGTGCGGCAGTTTTCCGAAATTCCGTGAATCGCTACCCTTTGTACCAAATTTGATTTGACATACGAATTGCTGCCATACGAAGCGACATATCTCCATTGAAGTAATGAGCGCTAGGGATGATATCATAGGGAAGGATAGTTTCATATCTCGCATCTATTTAGTGAATCTGGTGACTCACGATATTTTTCTCTCGCTTTCATTTTGAAAAGTCACCATGGCATGGAGATGATGTATCCCCCTTCATGATGTGAAAGGACTCTGAAGAAGCGTGGAGAGGCAAGTCAGGCGCATTCGGTGTCGCCCGGATTACATTGGTAAAATGGACTAAGTTAAAGACTGAAGCGAGGAAGCCCATGAAGACTGGAGGGTGTCAGATGCTCAATGGATTCCAAGTTAATCACATAATCATTTCATTGTTGTAATACCTCAACCCATTTCTCTTGAGCATGTCACCTGACCCTGGAAATTTCGCCCAGCAACAATCTAAAGATCCATATCAGAGTCGAGAAAACGTTTCGGTAGCTTCTGCAGTCTCATAACCGCGTTGATGGAGCGACAAACATTTGCATATTCCTAAAAAAAAATAGGAATTTGTTTCACTGGTCGACTAAGCCGCGTCATTTCTTAGAAAACGCCCGTCGTCTCGTCCTTTCCTTTCTGCATTTCTTCGTTATTGCATTTTCCATCACGGATGAGGGTAAGGCCAAATTATGTATTCTTGGAAAATATTTTTTTTTACAGTATTACAGTATTTCATTTTTATTACAGTATTTCATTTTTTTTTCATAGTACGTTGACAGTATTGAAGAAAGAGGGTCATCAGAAAAAGACGCTCCAGTTTTCATTACTTGTATTTCCTGAGCTGCATTACCAACAACCTTATATGTGGTATCATGCAACATTCAACACTATGCAGTCCTAATGCTAATTTCGAGAAACAATAGGAAACAAGTTATTAAAGTGCACCGTGGTTTTCGAAGCGAATATTTACGTAGGGACACTCCAAGCGCATCTGCAATAAACAGGCTAGTAACAAAATTCGTAAATATCGATCATGTGAAGGCCAATAAGAAGGGACATCATGGTCGTTTCACATGTGGATGTTCGAGAACGCTTTCTCTTCTAAACTTCTGATAACTCTGTATATTCGAAGTTTACAGACGGTGAGCGGCGAGAATCGCCACAAGAGGGCGTTAATGATTGACTAAAATGGAAGAAATCACCATTTTTTAGGTAACGAAAAAATTTTTTTTCGAAAACGGCACATGGAAAACATCTGCATTTAATAATAAAAGCAGCAGTAGAAGAAATATTCACGGGGAAAACATGGGCTCCAAATATGAAAATTCAATGTTTTAGCAACATTGGGGCTTGTTTCACAAGTGCAGTCAATGGTAATATAACTCTATCATTAAGCTATCGGGCAGAATTTTGGCACGATATCCAGCAACACTGGGGGACGGGATCGGAGCTAGCACACTAAATAAACGACAACTAATTTCATATTTTTTTAGGGCGAAATGGTGCATCGCAAGCGACCAAAATGGCACTTTTCGTCATCTACAACTCAACACCTTTCTCATGGTTGATCTTCAAAAAGCGAGATTCAGTGATCTCCACAACCCCGAGGAGACGAAGCTTCCAATTTGCCGATGCGATTTTGTGTTGAGAGAGAAAGGACAAATTTCCTTTCTTTTGATACTCTCCGACAAGAATACGAAGAAGTCTAATTTTGTGACGTCAAGGGAATGAATAATGAATGGGTAAGGTGATATGGGCTGCTGCGCATATTGATTCCGGCGTCATCTATTTCGCAGATTGGAAAGCAAACCTTTTTTTTGCCGGTCTCGTAGCTGCTGCTATGAGTTGAATAGTTACTGCGTTAAAATATTGCATTCAAAAATAATAACACAGGCCAGCTTGCAGACAGTTTTGTGCATTTGGGACACCAGGCATTAGGCCGGCTGATAGACCGATTGATGTCTGAATGGTTTCAGTATACAAAAGACACAATTTAGAAATTAGCACGCCTCTTAATCCTCTTGAGGTACAATCATGAGAAGGGCCATCAGGCCCATAATGTGATGGTTAGGTGGTAAAATTCTAAGGACTTTGAGCCCATACATTTGAAAATAGCTACGAACTTTCATACTGACCCTTCGTTCTCCTAATGCCGAGTTTCTGAGCATTCCAACACGAGATTTCCACAAGCTTCAAGTAGGAGGATGAAATAAGAAAACAATGCCAGAAGTGCCATGATGCCAAACTATATATTTCAAGCATGGAACATGAAGCTGAAAAACAGGAAACCATGGACAAATTCAAGGTGTTGCACACCATTGGGCGTCACGAGTGTTGGGAAGGATGAAGCTGTTCAGGAAACCTGGAATTCGTAAAGAATTAGAAAAGTGAGAGCATGAAGAGGAAATGCACACGTTTTGGATGCCTGGGAAAACGTACTGGCTGTGCTCGTGAAAACACCACCATATTGAGGCAAACATTGGGAACCAGCAACGAACGAAGCAACCCCGGCACTCTGGTAATACCCTCGAGAAGTTTTGTACATGAGCGATCCGCCAGAATCACCCTGAAAAGATATTGAGCAATAACGCCATCGCAAATACGAGGCGGTTCCCTCATAGAATATATTTTCATATAAATCTCTTGCTTACGTTGCAGATATTTTTCCCTGTGGCTCGCACACACACGTAGTTGTTGTTGATGTTACTACCCCAAATGCCCTGACATGTCCGAAGACTCAATACGTTCACTGTCGTTTCCATCAAAGTCGTCGGGATATTATTGTTACCTGAAGGAGGGTTCGAGATCTTAAAATTCATTAAGTGAATCATCCAACCTTTTCCAATGCACCGTAAACTCACTTCCTGAAGTGCGGCCCCATCCCGCGATTGTTACCACGGAATTGGCACTGGGGTTGGCAGAGGCGAGACATATGGGACGGATGTTTGGATGAGCTGCGAAGTTCAAGGGAGTCTGAAGTTTCAGAAGGGCGATATCGTTCTGAAGAGTTTGAGAATTATAATTGGGGTGCCTGATGGCTTTGGCAGCAATCTGGATGGATTGACCTGCTGGCCATTGAAACAAGTTCGTGGATCCCAGGGTCACGTAAAATGTCCCGGCTAGGCTAGAGCCGTGGGATATAGAAAATGATTTATCGCAAATCCAGGCGCAATCAAAATATTCGTCTAAAAATATCCTCACTTGGATTGCACGCAATGAGCAGCAGTGAGGATGTAGCGATCGTTGATGATGGCCGACGTGCAGATGAAATTATTCTTGGCCGTCCCCATCCATCCCACCCACGGATATTTCCTCTGACTGGGAACGGGTGTTCCACCGATGACTCGGTCGAAGTCCAATTGGCTCACATCCGTTGGGATGTCATCAGACCTCTTCCCCGTTGACGTTTGAGATTGTCCGCAAACTACCGACAAGATTTCGCAAAATAATTGTAAACCGTAATCATTCGATTAATGAAGAGTGTAATGAAGTAATTCTATATTTTGAAACTCACAGCAGTTTAAGGCTCTTGATCCTGAAAGGGAAGGTACAGAATGTGAGAAAAGTTGGAGCAATTGTCTTGCAACAGGCACAATGTCATTTAAGTTGCAATATATTATTGATTAAAAATGCGGGGATGTAAGGAAATAATTTTTCTCTCATGTGACGCTTCGTTGCTCAAATCAAGATTAGACACTTGAGAACATGAAGATGAATGAGTGGGCAGTAAAGAAAAGGAGACACCAACAAAGAAATTCTTAGTATATGGACCTGTTTAATGAATGACTAATAACGACATTCAGTCCTCTATTTGGACAGTCAGATATTCGACAAATTCAGTCTGTCTAAGATTGTGATGCAATTGCAAGAAAAAGTGTAAAGCACAGGTCCTATGTCATGAAAGAAGTTAAATATTAAGGGGACTCATGACTTAATGAATGATAGCTCTTACGTGCACAAAGGAGAGAGTTTTCACACAATATCACTGAATGGGTTACATTCTTTAACATTCGCATTAATTTTCGAGTTTGTAAACGTCATGCCGACTGCACAGTACCTGGGATATTGAGCAATTCCAACAATGAGGGCGAATTCTCAAAGCTTCCATTCTCCTCGCCCTATGGAATTATGATGATTAGCTTGAACCGTCTTCAACATACAACTAACCTGAAAATTCAATACCCCCATGGAATACAGTAAAGACAATATGATTGACCTTAGTACGAGTGGAGAATGTGAGGAAGAGAAGGAATAAGGAGATGATGGATGTTTCCATGTTTGGAGTCATATATCACGTTTACAGTCGATGGAGTTGTTCTGGTGCGAAACCTGTTACTGGACGCACATTTTATAGTGCTTCGCCCGAGTGAGATTGTCGCCGCGTGGACAGGTTCATTGACAGAGGAAATGTCACATGCACCTGGAAACTCCACGTCATCGACAGATGGGAAGTTGTTCGATCCTGGGTCTTGTATTTCATAGCCATTTATGTTGTAATTTGGACACATTTCCTCATAATCAACTACCTGTCAAAATTGCATCCCGCAATGGATGCACTTTTGCTATTTTATTCAGCATGTGACATCAACTTTATTTCATTTTTGGAGGAAATTTTTTGCCGATGGTGGTCTCGATTTTCCTAGGTTGCAGATACTCAACTAGGAAAAATTACTTTGATACCTAAAAACGATAAGGGATGATTCTTGAATGAGCAATGAGAACTTATCCTTCCTTGAAATACAAAAGAGTCTATTCTGTGTGTTATTCCGTGAAATCCCCTCTCAGATTACTGATGAACGGATTTAATAACAGAGAAATGAAGGAATGTGAAAACCAATTTTCGATCGTTTTCCTTTTCTTCATAAAAATATCTCATACATCAGAAAAAGAAGATCCAGATGCCAATCTGAAGGTTGAAAAAGTCTTGAATCCTGCATAATTTCGGCACCGTATCCGGCAACACTGCGGGACGCTTCTGGAAGAATTACTCTAAGCCTAATTGAACGACAGCTAATTTAATTTTTTATGGCGAAATGGAGCATCCCAAACAGCGAAAAAGCCACTTTTCGTCAATATCTTTCTCATGGTTGGTCTCTTTCCTCCAAGAACCCCCCAAGAGTGGCTACCCAGGGGGGTGGGGAGAGAAAAAAAATTATTGAAATTCATATCTTCCAAAAACGAAATTCAGCGTTCTCCACAACCCCTAGAGATGGCGCTCCAAATTTGGTGGAGCGATTCTGCGGTGAGAGAGGAAGAAGTATGCCAAATTTCGTTACTGTTGATGCTCTCAGAGAGGAATACGAGTAATTATAATTTTGCGTCTGGAAGGGGTTGAAGAACGGTAATAGGCGCTACCAAAGCCTATTGACCAATAACCTCATAACCTGGAGGCGATACTTATTGGGCCGAAAGTTCAAAAAGTACGTTGCGAAGGTGGTTCCTACACGTCTCCCTTGTCACTCTGCGTGTCAGAGGCCTGCAGGGGTTGATTATCCCGAGTTTAAACACGATCGGCCGGATTCGTATTGTGGCCCGCACCCGACCCGGAACACGATCGTCGACCGAGCTGTGCTTCTCCGAGCCGCGGATCGAGTTGGACTGGCATGGCCGCTCCGCAGCCCGCTTAGGCCTCTAAGCTCGAAAACTCCAGGTGTTTGATGACCCATTTGCCACAATGGAGACGACAAAAGCCTTGCAGATTACGTAGAAACGTATTTTCGGGAGAAACGGTTCAGAGTATATGGCATTAACAGGCAACAGATTACAGAGTGGCGAGCCGTGTCTGTGACATAGGAAACCGTGCAAGACAGTAATATTAAGAAATTTGAAACTCCCTATGGTTTCCTTAAACGCTGAAAGCAACTTTTTCTTAAGGATCGGTTATTTGACTTCGATGCCCGGCCATCTTTCATCAAAATACAAATGCATAATGCATAAGAGGATAATCTGCACGATTCAGGCTGTCATTATGGGAGATTTCCTCCTAGACGGCTGAATGGATTTTCATGAGTGAGATGTCAATTGAAGGCTTATGCCTTAAGGCGATATTTCTTGGATTCAATCGCCGAGAAATATTCCAATTTTCATTTGCAATGAGGCCAAATTTCGGCAACTGGAATGGCAACATAGAATGTCCGGGCTATGTGCTCACACATCATGAACCGCTCTCTGCCAGAAACTTGATTGCCGATCGGACCAATAAAAAGCCTGTTTTGTCCTCTGAGGTTTTCCATTACGCATTCGCTCGCTCCTGACAGGTATCGAGTGTCCCTGCCATGGTAACGTTATAAGACATGCGAAAGAATGTGCTTTACAGGAATCACAATGTTTCCAGTAAAAGCAACGCGACCATGAGGAAAAGGTGAAAAGCATACGTATCTGGCGGCATCACCGTAATGGCTGTCACATCCCAGACGATCTGGGTGTCCAGATCTGGAGACTTCCAGTCTGCGAATGACGTGGAGCTCACAATCGCACATGTCTCCCCCCTTGTCACAGTGGCTGGAGATGAACCCAGCATTATGTCCAGTTTTGGAATGCGAAGGCAGTACATTACACTCCAAAACACCGCGCGCTTATAATAGTTTAAGTAAGAGACATGTGTCCTGGGTTCTTCTCGAAAGTTGACGTGAAAAACGGAGGGTCTCTTAGTTATGCGCCATAAATGCGCCATTGCTACGAAAATGGCCAACCGCATTGATGTGGAAAATACATTTCGTTGTAACAGTTTGGTTTTAGCACTGGAATGACTTGGAATGAGTAATGAGGAAGTGTTAGACTCCATATCCCATCGAAATTTGCGCTTAGGTGATGAGAGAATTGAGAAGAAACCCTGCCTCAGGTGCAGTTAATTCAGCGATTCAAAGTCTGATGCAGCAATCGGAAGGGAATTTCCAACGGGTGCATTCTGTGATGAAAAACCTCCTTCGTGTGCGAATCCGAGGGTGTGTGGATAAATACTGGAAAAGACATGAGGGACGAAGTTGAATTTCATGGCAAGAAACATTGTTTCACGAAGCAATACGTTCTCACGAAATCAGAATGAAGGTAAAAGAAACCTCTACTCCTTTGACGGTAACAATCGTGATAAGTTTGGTTGACATGTATGGTATGCATGTATCGTATGATCTATGGATGTATCGTATCAGTCCTTCATGGCTGTTCTTGACAAATTAGAAGAATCGTTAGCCGCTGTCACTTTCGGATCTGTTCGACTGCAGCATCCTGCGGTAAGTACTTCAAGAAAGGCTTTTATTTTCAGACTTCTTCGTACGCAGCCGTCAGCTCTGGGAGCTGTGGGTTCTCGAAAATTTCTGCTGATGGATGCCTCCATATTTTCCTGCCTCGAGAACCAGGAATGGTCATAACTTGGACTTATCAGTTCCACGTGTCGCATCATCAAAGTTGGTCATTGTAAATGTTCGCTGGTTGTGGTTCTGAGAACCATACGCTGCTCATATGTATCAGAAATTGTTCAATGCCGATCGCTGTAACGATTCTCATGCAGTAGCTACCGAGAAGGGAGACATGTTTATAATGCGGAGGCTAGACTGTCATGGCGCTGTGCATGTGCTCGTGGTGGCGAGTGGGTTGCCCGGACATGTTGACCTGATCGTTTTTCGCCCTTGAGCTTTGGTATTTGGGTGTCTGCCCTGAGATTCTTCTGATTGATTTTCCATGTGAAAGAAACTGCCGACCAAAGCGTAACCTTTCCTGCCAGGTTGGTCGTCTGTTTAAGACTCAGTCTTCAGTTTAGACATTAAGACTCAGTCCCTTCTGTCTACGTGCCCTGAGGCATCGCAAAGTTGTGAGGCGACATCTATCCTACTCCACTGAAACCTCCGCGTTCGAGGCGAGAAAGTTAGAGGACCGCGCTGAAGAGGCTAGTCTAACAGCATGAAATCAGCGAAGAAAGCGCAGGAAGATCTACTGGTGGAGATGATGAAGGAGATCAAAGGACTGCGAATAGAAATGAAACAGTACCAAGAGGGTATGATGATGAAACTAAAGAAGGTAGCTGACAAGATGGATAAGAGACTTGCCAAAATGGAGTGCAGACAAGAAGAACGAGAGCAAGGACTAGACCAGTTGAGGAAACATTTGGGTACGATGGAGAGAGAGACAATCGGTAGGCAAGATAAAGCCAGGAAAAAAAGTCTCGATAAGATAGAAGTACAACTTAGGAGGAATAATATTTTGCTTCATGGGTTCCAAGAGGACAGGATGAAGTAGCAGATGATCTGAGGCTAAAAATAGCAGACTTCTTAAAAAACCGAATTGAGATCAAAGATCAAGTGGACCTGGTGTCGTGCTACAGAATCGGGAGAAAGCAGGAAGATAGAAGAAGACCAGTACTGACGGAAGTAAGGAATGTTCAAGATAAAACGCGAATCCTCGGAGAAGGCAAGATTCTCAGAGAGAAGAACCTGGGTCTGTGGATGACACAATATATCCCCTTCGGAATCCGGGAAAGGCGAAGGAAGCTGATTCCGACCCTCCTCGCAGCGCGGAAAGAAGGCAGACAGGTAAAGCTATCGAGAGACCGACTTTACATCGATGGGACCTTGTATCGTAGTGAAAATACACCCGAAGGTGACGATGGAGGAGGAAAATCGGAAGACCGCATGAAACGAGGTGAGCCCATCAGGAGGCAAGACAACAGGAAGGAAACGAGGACCCCATTTAAATCGGGCGACAAGCGTGTGACGAGGGAAGCAACGAAATTATTGAGGGACGGAGGATTGGAAAAGTTTTTATCTCCTATGCCTCGTAAGAACCCCTAAGTGAAGGAAGTTGTCAACGGTTGCGCTGATCTGAGAGAAGATACACAGAAGGAGGGTTCAGGAGAGGAAGTAGGAGCTAGTGCGATATCCGTCCTCATCCAATTGGATGAGGACGGCTGACATAGACAGGTCGTCTTTGAGAGCC